ATAAATGAACAATCCGCTATTTGTTTCTCAGGAATGGACGTAAACTAATTTTCACCAACTACTTCATTTAGACATCCAACTGGTCCCCCTAGCTAGGAATCGAGCAAGTATCTTGTATAAGCTTCTTACTAAAGAAATTGGTCTGAAATCGTCCACACTTTGGGGGGTGTTTCTTAGGAATGAGAGTAACGAACGAGTGATTTATGGATTTATGAATAAGTTTCCCATCATAGAAATCAGCAAAAAAATCATTACCTCATTTTTATAGAGCTCCGAAACCCTCTTGTATAAATCCAAATTGAACCCGTCAGGCCCGGGGTGCTAGATCCTTCAGCAGAAGAAATTGCTGACCATACCTCCTCTTCCGAGAACGGAAATTTAATAGCTCTAACAGAGGAAGGATGCAATTTTGACAGTTGGACCTCAAACTTCTTAACTAGAATGGTACATAAGTCATTGTAATGCTTCTTGAAATGCTTTTCTATTTCGCTTCTAACTTTCCCCTAATTAAAAATCATCACATTCCCTGAACGAATTTGCGAAATAGAGTTAAGACTTTCCTCTCATAGCTGCAGACAAATGAAAGAACTTTGTGTTCTTATCCCCTCTTGGAACCACTTCAATCGAGATTTCTGTCGCCATTCTCTTTCCTCTCTACAGTATTTCAGCCATAGTTTCCCCCTTGAGTGAAGAGATCTCTGCATTCAGCCCGCTGTCATATCCGGAAGCCCACATTGCTCTTTCAAGCTCTTCTATCTTGCTTTCAAGATCTGTGATTGACCAAGCATCCTTAGATCTGACCTCGATCACCCAATCTTTCACTGCCTTTTTTACCTCAATAAAGCGCCCATTCCGCTAGATTCACACTCCCTGCATACATAAAATACCACATTCACAAAATCTTTGTCCTCATCCCAATGAGAAAATCATTTTAAGTTTATTATTCATATTTAAAACTTTTATTATTTTATACTTTATTTTTCTTCTAAATTGTTTGTTCTTCTCTAAAAGATTATTATGTTATCTCTTAGTTTTAATACTAATTTAACAATACAATATTGTTGTTTTATGATAGAATTCAATTATCCAACTAATTAATATTTTGATTGATGAGTTTGTTTGAATTGATAGTATCAAAAAAAAAACTTAATTGATAGAAGTTTTAGATACAAAGAGTTAAATTTATTAAATTATTTCGAATTATGATAAATTGATAGAATTTATAAGTTTTACATAATTAAATTGTTATTATATCATGTCTAATTAGACATTTGTTTCAATTTTAATGACAAAATAAAATATTTATAATAATATTTTAATTAAATTATATATTTTTATTTAAATGAGTCGTTTATTACTAAATCCATAACTATTTTTTTTCTGGAAGGACATAAAAATGAAGCAACATGATTAAAATACCATCATCGTTGTCATCAAGTTTCACCCTCGGCTACGTTTGTTTCCTTCTACCTATTACCATTGATGGGCGTATAGTAACTTTGCCATAGAATATTATGAATAATAAACTTAAAGAATAAAAAACTCAAATAAAAGGAAGTGTTAATTTATGAAATCAGTTAATGGTGTGGACTGTAGTTTGTGGAGGAGAAAGTAAGTAGGCCATATCCATATTCCCCCACCAGCTTTTGCCTTGACTGAGAACATTCTCCTTCATTACTTGAAACTTGTTCACCTTCCACACTTTAACAAAAAACAAAAAAAAAAACCCTACAACTATACTCCTTTTATCTTCATCTATTTACTCTTCTTTAGTGCCTGTGGGTTTTCTGTGATTTTGTTGATTAAAAAAAATGGGGTCTCAAGAGACAGCTATGGAGGGGGAACATAATGTTCAGCAGGTATTCTTCTTTTTTGGTTGAGCAGTACTGTGTCTGAATTTAGTGCTTGGAGAGTATTTTCATGGCCACCTTTAGCTATGATTTGATTGCTTCTCATGTTTGAATTCATTTTCTTGTTGCAAAAAACAATGGGTTGGTCTAGTTTCCTGCATCCCTTCAGACAACCTTTGAATTTTGATTTTGGATGTTCTCTGCTTCATCTTTGGTCTTATATAAATATCTTTTGGAACATATGTGCCAATTGCAAAGTAGTTTTCAGTTCCCCATGCATTAAAATCTGCAGTTCTTCTGCAGACATGTATATATATACATATATGGTTAGCTACCGATGATATAGTTCCTAAAAGTATCTGTCAAGTGTTGTCTTCTTTGTATATTTTCTTGCATAATGATTAATAATGTCATTGCTGTCTGTTTTTCAGGTTGAAGATTCATCAGTAATAACCGAGGAAACGAGTCGTGCTCATAGTCGAAAGCGAAGCGATCTCGTTCTAGAGATACCCTTGAGAACTTTGGAAGACCCCTTGCAAGAATCTGTCATCATGAAGATGCCCCCTACACCTTGTTTGACTCCCAGGAAAGTGAATTTTCTCTTGACACCTAGTCCGTCCGATTCGAGAATTACCAGATCCTCTGGTCCTTCGACATCGAGAGGCAAATCGTCCTTGAAGAGTCTCTTACCGAAACTAAGCTTCAAGAGTAGAAATCCTGATTTGGATGTTGAAAAGGCTGCAATCTTTGCTTCGGATTCTTCTCCCACTTCACGAAGGGAGAAACCCTCCATTGCAAGGACATTGTCACTTTCGAAGATGTTTAGAAGTCCGAAGATGAAACGGACATCGTCGTTTCCGGTAACTTGTATTACAAATTTGAACTCGGAGTCGAGAAGCATTGGAAGCCTAAGTGGCTCTGTAAATTCTAGTGTAAGTTTTCGTGATGTTTCTGTCATGATTCCGGCTAAGTTTATTTTGTTGGATCTTAATTCTTTATGTTAAATGCAGAGCATATGAAACTATATATATTAATGTGAAGTAGAACTTACTTGTTCATAAAATATATCCCGGATTTTGAATGTTTGTTTCTTGACGTTGTTAGTTCCTTTGCAGAGAAAAGGCGGTATACGATGGATTTCTCGCTCACTTTCAGTTCCTGGCAACCGCAAAGAAGGAAATTTAAGGAGAATGGATTCGTTTTTTCGAGTAGTTCCCTCGACTCCACGAGTAAAGGAAGGAGAAATAAGTTCGAATTCTTCTGTTGGACCTGATGCTGGTACTTCCTCGCCTGTGTCTATGCATTTATGTTTGTGTATGCATAAGTCTGACGTCTTAACAATATTTATACAGAAGACAGTGATGGTGAGGACATACCCGAAGAAGAGGCTGTTTGTCGAATTTGTATGGTCGAACTATGTGAAGGAGGCGAAACGCTTAAGATGGAGTGCAGCTGCAAAGGCGAACTCGCTTTAGCCCACAAAGACTGTGCCGTGAAATGGTTTACCATCAAAGGGAACAAGACCTGTGATGTGTGTAAGCAAGATGTCCAAAACCTACCTGTCACTCTTTTACGAATCCAAAGCACTCTGTCTCGAAATGCTGCAGCTATCAGAGGTCTTCAGCCTGATGTTCCCAGATACAGGTAAATAATCAATTCGTTACCGACTCACTGGATTTACTCCTCATCGATGGCCTTATGTACATATGACTTCTAGGATACTTGTCTTTCTATCGAATTCATTTCAACTCTCACCCGTTCCATCGTCGCAATGTATTTTGATGTTTTCGTAACCGTGTCTACCTTGTCGTCTCCATAAATAATGGGGAAGTAACAATTTCAGTTAGATGTTTGCAGGGTTTGGCACGAGGTCCCTATTCTTCTTTTCATCAGCATGCTGTCGTTTTTGTTTTCTCGAGCAGTTTCTGGTAGGATAAGCAGTTCCTCATTCATACATTCCCCTGTTTTACTACTTTATATCCTTTGATATATTGTTCGTTTGCCTGCAGATGAGAAAAATGGGCATCAGTGCAATTGCTGTAGCTCTTCCATGCTCTTGTGTGCTAGGCCTTCTTTCATCCATGGTTTCGTCGACAATGGGTAGGCTCGCACACTTCAGCTTTATAGTCACCGTTGTCGATGTCCGATTAACACGCTTTTCGTATTCAGTGTCGCGGAGATTTGTGTGGCTTTACGCATTGATTCAGTTTGTTTTGGTGGTTGCCTTTGCCCATATATTTTATTCGACGGTAAATGTCTATCTTTGCTCATGTTTCAGACATTAGGACTCAAACCGCGGATGCTCGCATTTTTAGCTCTAACAAAATGGAACATTTCAATGTTTTGTGCGTGCAGGTGAAAATACAAGCAATCCTATCGATTCTCCTTGCGATGTTTTCCGGATTTGGTGTCACGATGAGCGGGAGCTCCTTTGTTTCCGAGATCATACGATGCAGAAGAAGACGGCAGCGGGCGCAGCAACAGCATAGTTCAGCTCGGATGGATCCTAATAACGTAAACCAGCAAAGTGCAGACTCTGTTGGTGGTGGGAGCTGAATCGATTTCGTTACGTTGGGATCGGAACATGCAGGTTCTCACACTAGTATGTAATTTATCCGAAACCGAAGCCTTGATGCTTGGGTAATGTAAATCCGGTGGGCTCTCGAACGGTGTAGGCCGAATGAAAAAGGATTGGTTAAAAAACCAGAGATGATGTTGATCTCTAAAGGCAAGAGACTACAATGAATTAGGTTGTAATGTGCTAATAAAATATATACATGCAATTTTGCATTCTTGTTTCCCAAGGCTGTGAAATGTAGTTTTATTTGGTAACTTTAAATTTTATTCTCATTTTCAAACATTTACTTTTATATTTTGGATTTAAAAATTTTATTTTAACTCTAAATTAAACTAAATTCAAATTAGGGCATGAAAAGCTTGTTGAAACCAAGTCACGGTTTGATGTGAAGATCAGTGGATACTTGTATTTCCGGAAGTATAATATACACAAATAGATACGGATCAGATACGACAATCTTTTATCTCATGCAAAAATAGTTGAAAACTCCTTATAAAGAATATAAAACAAATGATAATCAAATGCAAGTAATCAATTTGAATATAAACCTCTTTGTTAAATCATCTTTTTCTTTACAGAATTTCCCTTCTGAGAGCGTATCCATACTGAGCTCTCCTGATATTCTCTTGTCTCTTCTTGTAAACCAATCCGCCCAAGCCAACCAAACACGCTGCAGCCACCACAGCAATCACGGCTCCCGCCTTTTTGCCGCCGCTAATTCCTCCGTCACCACCGGCCTCCTCTTCGCTTCCTTCTGCATTGATGTTTCCGTGCACGATGTCGCTTGCATCATACGGCGGCGGAGCAGGAGAACTCGCGGGTGAGTTTCCTAGCTCAAGATCTGATGGAGATGGCGCCGGTGGCGAAGCAGCCGTCACCAGTGAGATTGATGGTGCGGAGTCGGGTGATCCAGTCATAGGAGTAGGAGCGAGTTGCGGGGATGAGTCTGCACCGAGAGACGGCGCAGGCGCCGGCGAATAGGCAGCGAAGGTGAGTTCAACAACAAAGAACAAAACAGCGGTAAGAAAAAATCCGACTTTCGCCATTTCACCAATCAGAAAATTGAAAGAAGAAAAAAAATAAAGATTGCAGTTGAAAATATAGGGGAAGTCTGAAAAACGAAGTAGACTTTGGGAATGAATTTAAGGGGTAGATAGAGTGGAAGGGGAATTTAGGAGTGAAAATGAAATAATGTAAAACTTTGAGTAGAGAGGCAAACAATGAATTAAAGAGATGGATTTAAATGATGAAGTAAAGGGTTCGTATGGGAATTTAATGAAGACGACGGTGACTGATCATGCTATAAGCCATGATTTAAAATAGCAGGTCAAGGCAACATCTATCCTTTTCTTATTAAATTCAAGTTTTCTACATTTTTTATTAAAAAATCACGTAATTTTTAAGAAGTATGTATACTTTTGAGATGTTGATTTATTCATTTGTTTTATGTTTTTACTTGGTTTACAGGTATAAAAATTGGAGAAAATAACTTCAGTGACCGAAAATAATTTATAATATACGATTTTAATCAATTTTTTTTTGGATTTGCGAAAATAACCAATAAATTCGTAACGCGATCTCAAATTCACAACACGAACTCCAATTTCGCAATATAATTTCCAAATTCACAACGTGAATTTCCAAAATTCATAACTCAGTTTTGAAATTCGCAACTCAAATTTCCTTTTCGCAACGCGAACTCCAATTTCGCAACGCAATTTCCAAATTCGCAAGGCGAATTTCTTTTTAGCAACGTGGTTTTTAAATTCGCAACACAAGTTTCCTTTACGAAACAATATTTTCTAATTCGTAACACGATTTTTTTTTCACAACTCGATTTCTGAATTCGCAACACGAATTTTAATTTCGCAACAGCTTTTATTTTCGCAACACAAATATTTTGGGTATATAAACTACGCAGCAGCATCAACTCATAACATAAATCCCTAAATCACAACTCATTCCATCTTCATCTCTCACTTTCTCCGACGACATCCGTTCCTATATCCAACGACATCCTTCCCCATCTCTAATTTTTTTTACATAATTTTATTTCTATATAATTTTTCAATGATTTCTCTTCCAAATTATCAACTATCAACTTAATAAAGGTGTGTTTTTTCTCTAAGTTAGTGATGATATCTAGTTTATAGCTCGTTTGTTTAGTAAATTAATTTACAATTTGTAGAATGAAATCATCTAATGTTGATCATATTTGGATAGATTTATGTTATGGAGGGTCATGGGAGAATGTTAATGTTGTTTTACAATATATGTCTTTACCCATGAATCTTCAACTAAAACTGTCATTAAAAAAGTTAACTTATGAAACTCTAATGTTACGTGTTTCAAAGAAATTAAATTTAGAGCCTCTAAGTGGATTTAAGCTTTCTTATCAGAGAAAAGGTAAAGTTTATTTGTTAACCGACAATGAAGATGTTAAACGATTCATTACTTTCATTAGTGTTTCGCAAGATGATGTTACATTATATGTTGTTGAACCTAGAAGTAGTGAAGTTGGTTCAGTAACGGGTAGTAATCAACTAAGTTCTTCAGCCCTAGTTTATGGTGCTCACAATGTACAACATTTTTATCAACCTTAAAATTTCATGGTTCCACCACAATTTCATCATCAAGAAAATTTTGTTTCACCACATTTCCAATACCAAACACAATATCAAACATGATCTCAAAAGCCACAATTTTTCCCTAATTCAAATCCCAATCAACTTTCAGCACCAAATTTCGGTTTTCATATTGACCAGCTAGACGATGATGAGCCAACAGAAAAAAATGTGAGTACTAGTCAGTATTCGAAATTTGATCTTGGTCAATACTCGGATTTTGAAGATGTTTCAGAAGAAGAAACAGACACTGCGTGTAATGATTTTGATATTGGTCAATACTCGAATTTTGATGATGAAACAGCCGCTGCCGATGAAGATGTTGTTGATGATAATGAGGAGGAAATTACGGTTGTGAATGAACATGTTGAACATCCATTTTGTAATTCATATAACCCTGAAAAAGAAGAAGAAAAAGTCCCCGAAGAAAAGAAAAAGAAGAAAATGTCACAGGAGTATAACTGGAATATGCCAGAATTACTTCAGATACCGGAAGAAGAGTTGGTAAATATAGCAGTTGATTGTTACACAAAAGTTATTCGTATCAAGAAAGATGATTGTTTTGATACAAATGAATACTTGAAGATAGCTTTGAATACGAATAGTGTGGAAGATGACTATCAACTAAAAGTTAACAAATCAAGCAAAGATCGTTTCGAAACAAAGTGTAGGATTGACAAAAACTCTACGTGGCGTATGATTGCAAAGAGGATAAAAGATTGTGAAATGTTTCAAGTTAGGACTTTTATTGATAAACATACATATTCAAGAACCCAAGTTTTTCCTCACCATAGACATACAAACAAAAAGGTGTTCGGTGGTTTTCTGGCTGAGTTAATGTTTTTGAATGGCAGGGTATATCAGGGACATGAAATTATGACTGACATGAATGCTCGGTTCAAGATTAGTATCTCATATTCTCAAGCTTGAAGAGCCAAATGTTATGCCTTGGAATTATTGAGGGGGTTATGCCTTGGAATTATTGAGGGGGTCGCCAGAAGCATCGTTTGCCCAACTGTCGGCTTATTGTCACAATTTAAAGCTGAAAAATCCTGGGTCGGTAACTCATATCAAAACAGATAGGGATGGACATTTTGAGTTGATGTTTATCGCCATTGGTGTTGCGGTTAGTAAATCAATATAATTTTGTTGACTCATTTTTGTTATTTACATGTATTTCACATTTAAATGATTATATTTCTTGTGTATATTATTTTATAGATTCGTTCGTTTATTACTTGCATGCGGCCAATTATTATAGTTGACGGAGCACATTTGAAATGTCGATACCTTGGAGTAAACTTATTATCAGTAGCCATGGATGCTAACAATGGGATATTGCCAATAGCTTACGGGGTTGATAAATCTGAAACCTCTGATTCATAGACATGATTTATGGGACATCTTAGGGATTGCATAGGCCCTATTAGCAATCTAACAATCATATCCGATAGGGAAAACTCAATTGACAATGCTATTAGAAGGTGTTTTCCAGATGCTTTTCATGGACTTTGTGGTGTTCATTTGTACAGAAATCTAAAATCAATGTCTGCTGGTATAAAAAATCACAAATGGATATACTGGAAGGCTATAAAAGCTTATCGGGAAGTGGATTTTAATAAGCATATAAATTGTTTAAGACGTGTTTTGCCTCAATGTGCTCAAACACTAGAAGATGTCGGGTTTGAAAGATGGGCAAGAGTACATCAACTTGGAGCAAGATATGTTTTCATGACATCAAATAGTGCAAAATCAATCAACGCTCTATGTCGCCATTCCCGAAAATTACCCATTACTATGTTAATGGAGTTTTTTCGAGCCTCTATTCAACAGTGGTACTACAAGAAAAGAAACCATGCATGTATTATTTCTTTAAATTCGTAACTTATCATATTTAATAGATTTTACTAAGTATTATTTATTTAAATTTACAAGAACATTGGAACGTCGTGTTACACAATGGACTGAAAAAGATAATGAAACGTGTTGTGAAGTCAACGTCATGGAGAGTTGAACCATGTTCAAACACTTTGTTTGAAGTCTTGGATAATAACTTAAATGGGATTGTCGATCTAAATGCAAAGACGTGTAGTTGTATGTAATGAAAAAACATCTGATTATCTGTGTGGCCATGTTATAAAAGTTTCTCTTCATCTAAACCAAGATTATTCAAGCTCATACGCTATGGATTGCTACACTACAGAAGTATATCGACAGACTTATGCCGAGATTGTCTACCCTATTCCACATCCTTCTGAGTAGGACATACCAGATGGCTTACAAATAGTTTTTCCACCAGTCATGGACAAAAGGCTACCTGGCCGACCAAAAAATCACGATCGTATACCGTCTAAGGGTGAAGAGAAGAAGATATCGACATATAGTCGGTGCAAGGAAAATGGTCATACAAGGTTGACATGTGGGTCACCAGTGCCATCACAATCATCTTTTCCTCTACCAAAATATGGATCCTCATCAAAATCCAAAGCTCATATAGTGTCAAGCAAAAGGAAATCAAAATCGAAATCAAAATCAAAATCAAAATCCCAATCACAACCGCCTTCACCTTTTGGGGCTATTAACTTAGGTAATTTTTAAATGCAAACGTTGTATTATGTGTATTTTATGTGTGAATGCATACATTTTCAGTTAGGATTAGTAACTTGAGTTTGAATATTGCTATGATATGTTCAGTTGTTATCACTTATCAGATTATTGTATGTTATCTTTTTTAATGTGTTTACCTTGAATTGAAACTAGACAAAAACATGGTTATTGTGAACTTCTCCGATTCGTAACTCAAATTCGCAACGCAAAAATCAAATTCGCAATGCGAAAATCGTATTCGCAACGTGAAAATAAAATTTTCAACACAAAAATCGCAACGCGAATTTTATTTTCGCGTTGCGAATTTTATTTTCTTAAAGGTAGTGTGCCTTCAACAAGTCTTTTTTGCCTTCAATATAGCAGATTGAAATTAAACAACAAATCAATTAAACAAAAAAAATATTTTTTATTTACACTCAATTTACCCCAGACAGTACATCCAAATGCTCCTAAAAATAGGGAGCTTACAGACAACCCTTGCTCAAACTTACCAATAACAAATGGTGGTTGTTTATGCACACTTTCAGCACCCGGATGCAGGTAGGCAACGTCTCTCATATATCTCTCTAGCCATATAATGTCGAAACCACAACCCTACTGCACCTCTATCTCTATCTGTCGTAGGTAGAAACTATTTATCTCATCTCGTCATACGTTCCAAGCACATGCATACAAGAGGACCACAATCCCCTCTGGCTCCCAACTTTTGTTGTGGCGATGTCTCGTCTCTCATCATTGTAACTTTTAACTTATTTGGCTTTTTGTTTCCTGAATTAATCTAATAAGCAATCACATCCAAGTATTTAGCCAAATGA